TTCTACTTTTAAGAGGCACAGCGCCTTGTGGAGCCGCGAAAGTGGATACTCTCAATCCCTGAGATGCGGTAGGCGTGGCTGCGTACTTGGCTTGAAAGTGGAGGCGGCTAAGCTTTCCGCAAGGTATTTTCATATTGGGACTAAGCGGCTAAGCTTTCCGCAAGGTATTTCCATATTGGGACAGTTGCCATGTCTTTGTCCAACACAGCTTAAAATGGCAAACCAAATCGATATACCTCACGAGTAGCCTATCCTTACGCTATGTTCGAATGCCACGCCCACTATGTCTCAGGGATAAGGAGTGTAATCTTAGGTGACCCGACTACTCGTGCAAAAGCACGCCTACGAGTCGGTTGGGGGGCTGTCTTTCAACCCATAGGATCAGATCCAGTAATTTTTCCCACACTTCTCTAGGGAAGATCCTCACATGAAAAAAGGAGGTAAGATGGTGCGTGCAGAGGAATTCGCGATGAAAAACGACTTGAGTGTCCCTGTCGACCTGGTTCCGGAAATGCTAAAAAGTAGAAATGAAAGAAGAAATGTTTCATTTTTACTTTTTTTGTGGTGTTCTTTCACCAGTTTTGTTTTGCATCTACTCGTATGAGCTGCCTAAGGTGGTGGAAGAAATTGGAGTTACATGTAAAGTTTTTGCCGATGATTTGAAAATCTATAAGTCCCTAACAGCTGAAAGTGATTGCAAGTTGTTACAGGACGCCATTGATGCTGTTGCCAATTGGTCTAAATCATGGGGACTCCCTCTAGCATATGATAAAACCTCAGTTTTGCACTTAGGTTCCTCCCGGATTAACTTCGATTACAATATTGACGGCTCGCAACTAAAAAAGGTAAAGGAAGTAAGGGACTTAGGCTTCATCGTCGACCACAAATTGGCGTTCCATTCCCACTGCGTATCGATAGCTAATAGAGAATCCGCACGTTCTTATAAGAGCTTACAAGACTTACATTCGTCCGCTACTAGAGTATGGTTCTGTTGTATTCTATCCTCATATGAGGAAGACCATTTCCAGACTGGAGTCTGTGCAAAATAGTTTCACAAGAAAGGTTTTGACTCGGGCACTGGGTTTTATTTACAGTTCTATACCAAGAGGTGTCGTTAGAAATAAAATGCTTGCGCTCGATTCCTTACTCTAATAAACTAAACATACTCTCTAATAAACTCTCCTATTCTAGAGCTAAGCCTAATATTAGAGCCAAGTTTCTTGCTTTACGGGCTTCATCCGAATTCGTGAAGTTTTCGAAGAAACACAGTATGCCTGGGAACTTAGCTCAGCTAAAAAAGATTCTGCATCAACATTTGACTTGAGGGCTACTACGGACTAATCTCATTTTTGAAACTACGTTGATACTTAAGGAGCTGGTCAGGTTCCGAGTTACTTTACCTTACGTTGCTTTACCTTTTTATTGAATTTCTTTATTAATTATACAACGAGTACTGAACTTTGCAAGGTCAAATTTGTCAGTTAGCTTTTTGTTGGATTTACAGTTGTTCCATGTTGCTTCATGTGCCTATGGTGCATGCAATAAATAAATAATAAATCAGTGGCACTAGAACATTCGGTCGTAACAACTTTTGAGGCACCTACTACTACTATCACTGTGAACTCTTTGGATTCAACAGATTCTTCTCATCCGTTACTCAGTTCATCCATTGCTTTTGAAGGCAGATATCGCGATTGAAATTGATGGGCAATGGGAGATTCAAAAAACAGCAGTGTTTGTGCCAGTTGACTTACCCTAAACAGCAAAACAGAGAAGACAGTAAAAATGACTCAGTGGAATAATCTTTGTTACCGTTGGTTCTAAGCGATAGAAGAATGATTAGAGAGACCAGGGGAAATAGGAGAGGGAGCATACAAAAGAGCAAGATGGCAGACGCTAACAGGGGACGGAGTCACTCGCATGTCGAGCCACTTGCGCTCCCTCGCCCTTACCTTACACTTCACCTTAACTCTTCGATCCTAAAAGCTGTCCAAGGTTGTTCACGTCTACCTTCCTCTGACAGTCCTGATTCTTACAACCGGGGCAGAAATGAATGGAATCCTGCGAGAGTGGTACATATGCATCTTTTTCAACAACTTTTTACAGAATCTCCTCTTGTAACTCTCACCCATATCATTTGGGGGGGAACGTATTTCAGCTCTTTACCTGGGTACATTATGTTGCCTAGACTGCAAACTGAACTCTGTGATGACGGCGATTTAGTCAAAGATAGGCTAGGCCTTGATCAATTCTTCCACTCGTCGTAAGGCTCAAAAAGAGTGACGTTTATGCAGAACCTTCACACTCCTTATCCCTGAGACGGAGCGGGCGTGGCATTTGAACATGGCATAAAATGGGTTACTCTCGGGATATTTCATTCTGAGACAGCTGTCATCTGGTTAAGTGTTAGACAGAAAAAAACCACAATTGTGTCAAAATGGAAGTATTTCACTAAAAGAACAGCTAGCGCCACGTTTAGTTGGAGTGCGCAGCCACGCCTACCACATCTCAAGGATTTCCAGTGTATATTTTATCATTCTGATCTACGCGCCTTGAACAGGGCATGATGAGGATTGCCAGCTAGATGGGTCGTATTTGCTCGCTGAAGTGGGAGAGGAGGCGCAGTTGCCTTTATGAAAAATGTTTCGGTTGTTGACTTTTCTCCTTTTCTCTCGGTTTTTCCCGTTTCAGGTGTGCTACACCCATCCCTCTCCCCCCCCCTTTGACGGGATAGCATCTTATTGGGAAGAACAAGGGATTTCTCTGGGGAAGGGGGTCGTCACGGGGAGGAAATATTGAGGGGGTCGTACCTTGCAAAAATCTTCCCCAACGGCAGAGCGTGCCTTGACTTCCAAACTACTGCTTGTGGTAAACTTTGAAAAAAACATAAAATTAACAAATAAATATGTGAACTCTTGTGCTGCTGATAACCCCGTAACACCACGTTGGATCTACCTCACTTCTTTCTAGTGAGCAAAAGGTCACTATGTCTTCCCGATTATGCTTTCCAGTTCTCTAACCCTCGCTTTATAGCGACTAAGCGACATCACACTGAGCCTCCTGAGCTGGTACATGAGCTGGAACACTCATATCCGTTTCTTTATTCGGACTCGTTCTCATCCTACAATACCTCGGAGCCACAATTATACGTCGGCGATGTATCGGGTTAATTTTCTTGAATGGGAACGGTCCAAGTCCACCTTACGCGTCCATCATTCGGTGCATAACCATAACCATATCTGGTCAGCTCTTCTTTGCCCTTCTATTTTTGAGTAAAAATATAATAGTTGTTTTGCTTTAGTCATGCTAGAGACGATATTTCAGCCAACCGCATGCATTCCTTACTGATAGCATGGACGCTCTTTGGCGCAGCCACATGTTTTATGAACTTTCCCATAGAGATTAGCAAGTGCAAAAAAGGACAATGGCACGTGAGGAATTTCATTGTATTCAACTGTCACAGCGATGACACACACAAAGGGCTGAAACCATTCGGTGAGCACGATATTTCAATTTCTCTACAAAAAAGACGAAACAAAGTTTTTCAGCGTGTGATCCGACAAATGGCAAGTTAGTAAAGAAACGTAAACGCCCCGTCTTCCTTCATGAAACTTATGAGGGTAAAGGATTCATTTATGGATGCGATCGCGACAATCATACAAATGGAGTGGTCTGGAAAGCTGTCGGTTAGTCTTCAACTGTTTCTCGAGCCTTCTTCAATGTCTACCAGCGTCCACCGGCAACTGGAAGTAGAGAGTACGGGAAGTAGGAGGGTAGCAAACAGCTGGATTAGGCGTCGTGAAATTGCGGCGTGTGCAACCGCACCGCACAACTGGCAAACACCGAATTATGCAGTTTAATGTATGGTGTACCGTAGTTGTTCGATGCGTTTGCACACAAGGCAGTCTCACGACGCCTAATCAGCTGTTTGCTTTCCTCCTACTTCCCCATACTCTCTACTCCCGGTCGCAAGTGAACGCTGGTGGACGCTGGCGGGCGCTATCTTACGCTGGCAGCGTTAGATCGATATCTATACTTTCCTACTTGCTGACGTACAGGATGCTCGGAACGCTAGTGGTCGCTGGTGGACGCTGGCGCACGCTGCCGCAAAGTCCTAATGCACCCATCGTGCCTTCGGTCTCATTGTCTCATTGTCTCATAGTCGCATAGGCACTTCCTTAAATTGTATAGCAATCTAATTGCATTGGAGCAACATTTTAATAACCCAATCTGATTCTCTGAGATTTGTCAAAAAAGGCATGAAAGGGCAAATCCCTCCATCAGCAGGATGTGAAAGGTTATTTCGTCGGACAACAAGTTCAACGTGAAAAAATGGAATGTAGGACAATGGATCCCTGTTGCCGCGATGGGCAGATAACTACCATTTTGTGATTTATTGACTCGACTATATTTGTCGCCTTCGTATTCCGAGGAGAGTAGATCCGAAAATGTCGCGCACGCGGCACCACTTGCAACGCCGGTCTAGTCAACGTCAAACAAATTTGTTAAAGTTTCACTTGAAAAATTAAACCAGCACAAACTTCGAGTCGCGTAAGCGAGGTCAATGCTCAAACACTTTTCATTTGCTTTACAAGTAACTTTTTAGCCTGTTATATCAATGGTGAGAAGTTTGCTCCTGGAACTTTCGTGAAAGGGAGGTACGACTCCGTCTATCTCTGTTACAAGGATCTTGATGGCATTATTCGTCTTCGTATGAGGAAACGTAAGTTCACTACGTAAGATGCAGACGCTTTTGCTGCAGGTGCTGCCTGCGCCTGTCAGGCGAAGGGGGGGGGGGGGGGGGGGGGGGGG